CCCAAAACTGAGCATATTGATGCTGAGGCTAAAGACTTATACACTGAAAATATATTTTATTATGATGAGAATGATACAAATGCCAAAGAAATTCCTGAAACTGATGTTCTAGTATTCGACCAAAGAATGCCAATAAAGCCAAATATTCTTGAGAGCGATCAGGTTCAGTTAGGATCAGAAGAGGATGATACAGAAGCTAAAGAACAATTTGATGATTCAGGATCAGAGAAAGGACACCCTAAACAACAAATAAATGAATCCGATCCTGATGAAAATTTTCAAATCGAATTTGAATCGGAAGATGATGGTGTGGATGAAGGATTAGGGGATGCAAATATTGATCAGGAAATTAATAGAAATGATATCAAAGAAACTGCTCTGTTACCAGAAACCGATTCAAAAGAACAGATTTTAAGCAAAGAAAATGATCAAGTATTACCAACCTTCACAAGGCTTGATGAACAAGTTTTTCTTACTGAAGTAGATACTGGTCCATTTATTTCTGAAGACGACATTCAACTAACTGTTGATGATGAAGATACAACCCATGAAGATAAAACTGATTTTATATTTAATACGGCAGATCAGCAATCCTCTTTGAATATCGAAAACAGTCAACAACAAATTGAAACAGACAAAACAATTATTGATTCTAACTATGAAGATGATTTTGATGACGAAGATGATCAAGATGATGATCAAGATGAGGACGAAGACTATAAATTAAAGGCATCTGATGATGATGGTGAAGCTCAAACTGATTTTAGAAAAGCAGAAGAGAAAACTCTCATCGACCTTGGTACAGATGATGAAGAAGATGACAATTATGAAATAAACGATGAGGATGAACACTATAAATTAAAAGCATCCGATGATGAAGATGATGGTAAAACTCAAACTGAAATTAGAAAAACTGCAGAAAACCCTTTTATCGACCTTAGTACTGAACATGATGATCATTACTTTAATGATAAAAAGGACGATGACTATAAATTAAAGGCATCTGATGATGAAGATGATGGTAAACCTCAAACTGAAATTAGAAAAACAGCAGAGAACCCTTTTATCGACCTTAGTACTGAACATGATGATCATTACTTTAATGATAAAAAGGACGATGACTATAAATTAAAAGCATCTGATGATGAAGATGATGATGAACCTCAAACTGAAATTAGAAAAGCAGCAGAGAACACTCTTATCGACCTTGGTACGGAACATGATGATCATTACTTTGATGATAAAAAGGACGATGACTATAAATTAAAGGCATCTGATGATGAAGATGATGATGAATCTCGAACTAAAATTAGAAAAGCAGCAGAGGACACTCTTATCGACCTTGGTACGGAACATGATGATCATTACTTTGATGATAAAAAGGATGATGACTATAAATTAAAGGCATCTGATGATGAAGATGATGATGAATCTCGAACTGAATTTAGACGAGCAGCAGAGGGCACTCTTATCGACTTCAGTACTGGAGAACAGGAGCAACGCGATAACTATGACAATGATAATGTTCATCCAACTGAGCTTCTTATTGACTTTGATGCTAATGAAAAAGTGCAACAAGATGACTCTGATGATGAAAGGACTAAGAGATCTGGACCCACAGGCCTGAAACAAGAATTTTCAAGTCAAGAAGATATGATGGAACAAAACATCTGTGACAATGAAGTCAAACGAAACGAATATAATGAGATATCTGAACAAATGACAACTTCTGAAACAAACCAGTTTTATTTGATCAGTGATTCTCAAAAACAAAGAGCTTTGGATAAAAAAATTGCAGAAGATTTTACACAGGTCTATAAAGATGGAAGCCTGGACTTAACACTAATTGATTTGGAAGAATCTGAAAACCCACTAGTCCAGTCACAACAACCAATATTTGATGAGCAGCCACTAGCAGTTGGATTTAATGATGTACAAGAAGAACAAGAAATTAGGGAACAATTCATTTTCAAAAACTCTGAATACAAAACCAAAGAAAACGCAAAGTCAGATATTAGTGTGAATGATGATAATAATGATGTTGTTGATGATGGAAGACTGGATACATCAACCATTGATCAGGAAGAATTTGAAAAACCATGGAATCAGATAAAGCCACCACAGCTTTCATCTGGATTTTATGATGAAGACGAAGAAGGAGATCAACAGATTAGTAAACAATTAATTTTTAAAAATTCACAATACATGACGGAAACCAACAAAATGTTCAATATTGTTGGTGATGAAGTTGGTAATGGTAGTGATGCTATTGGTGATCGTAGTGAGGAAGATCGGGAATTAATGGATGATCGAAGATTATCAGATGATAGCTTAGCTGGATATGACGATTCTAGTTCAGGTGGTTCATATACTAATGAGAAGTTGCACATACCTCATCGATTAAGCAATGGATTGTCAGAAAAATCACTTGGTACTTACAACAATTCTGTTACAATTGACCAGTCACTAGATGATGATGATGACGATGATGATCACTCAAGTGTTATTAGTGATGTTTTAGGAACTGACGGAAGAAAAACACCGTTCAAAAGGAAATCCTACCAAATGTCACCAAGATCGGCTTATACTGTTGAGCGCCCATTATCTCCTACACCACCAAGGAGCAGTAGTTTTGATGATGACAATGACAATGATGATCATGAATCAAGCATCATCAGCGATTTAATAATCAATCCAAAATTCACAGACCCTAACCAAATCCCCAGTCCTATACCAACAAAATCACTTTCAAATGGAAGATCCAGCAGAATTGGAGAGTATTGCATTTTCCCAAGAAACAATAAATTGTTGGAAAATGGAAATTTAAAAGGAGAATTAGTCATTATAAAAGGTGGTAATGGGACAAACAGGAGCCACATCAGAAACAATACAAGTAGTTTCAACAGCAATAATACTGTACCTCCTAACACAAGACCTGTCTCAGAGCGGTCTAACACCAGAAAAATAGACACTGTTCCAAAAGTGGTCACAACAAACACTTATAAGCAAATTAAACCAAGCAGTTCGCCACTTCGTTCTCTTTATTATAATTATTACACACCAAGACCATCATCTCATCATCGTCTCATACCTCATTCGTACAAATATTCAGATAATAGCAGAACTTTTCCCAGTCACTCAGCAAGATACTTCTTAAACAGAAACTCACCGGTAAGTTCAATTTCATTTTTGTCTATGTTTTAAAGTGTTGTTTTCCTGTATTTTTTATTAACCCTTTGACCACCAAGACCAGGGATCCTGGGACCAAGGGTTGGTTGGATGGCAGATTGGTTAGCACGCGCACGCTGTATCATACAGTCTGTCATTGAGTCAACTGCCGTGGTTTCGATTCCCTGGTTGTACGTGACAAGGAGTAGGGTTGCCTGTCCAACTTCGTGGGTTTTCTCTGGGTCCCTCCCACTGCTAAAGACCCCTACGCGCAAGCGAATTGTTGAAATAAAATTGAACCATGTGTTAGTCCAGAAATGACCTAGTTTGTGTCGAGTGGATGTTAAACCCCATTCCCCTCTCTCTCTCTCTCTCTCTCTCTCTCTCCTGGGACCAAGATGCTTGTTTGGCTGTATGTGAACAAGTAAAAATTCAAAAAAAGACCCTCAAAAGATTTTAGCCAAAACTAATAGGTGATGCTGGTTTGTCAATATCATCTGTAGAATGTTGTGGAATTTTCAATTCATCATATGTTTGCAATAACTGAAAAGAATTCAGTAATTTTTGGAAAATTATTCCTCCTTTCAGAAATTCAGCTTTCACAATATTCTAGTTTGCAAGGAATAATTAAGACATCCATCAATGACTATTAGCAACTTTAATAGATTTAATTTTGGTTTTTAAGTAGAGATTACATATTTATCAGTACGACCAGTAAGCATTGATCCCACTAGAGGGGTTCACTAGTCCGCCGTAGCACTAGTCCGCCGCTATAAGAAATGCTATAAATATGGGGATCAATAAACCTAACCCTAACCCAACCCTAACCCTAATAATAGATATTGGTGGACTAATGAACCCTAACCTAACCCTAATAATAGACATCGTTGGACTTATGACTAGTGAGCATTCCCCGATCCCACTCCATGATAAAGAGGCCTATATAATGTCTAAATATATGAAAATCAAACCGAATTGAAATGAAATGAAATGGGATTTAACATTCTAATTTTTTCCACCGATTGTGCTAATGAGGACATGAAAAATCAAACTAGCGGAAAAGGAATAACAAGGGGATTTATATCATAGTAAGTGATAAACCATGTTTATATCAATTATTGACACATATCAATCAGAAGGAAATCAATTAAATAATTCTGATCACGCCTCAAACAACAATAAATGTATATTTTATGTGTTGCAAACATATAACTCATTATTAGTTTTGAATTACTATGTCTGAAAACTGGGAAAAAAATCAATTATTCCTTAAAAGACATCAAGAGTATCACAAAAATACTTAAGCAACTAGGTCACTTTTCCCAGATAAAATTTTCTTTTCTATAGCATTTTAGTCTTGATTAACTAGTGCATAATCTAATACGCTAATTCAAATATTATAGTATTACTGCATTGTCTTGGAATATATTGAATAAAGTTTGGTTCTTGAAAGTAGGATGCAGGGGAAAGGATAGGAACAAGCACAAAGACTGGTCAGCATTTTATTGTTTTTGTAAGGTATTTATAATAAATGTTAAAGGATATCAGTTGTATTAGAAAGTGCAGGAACTGGTCATTTAATTGTTGTAGTAGAAAAGTGTCTAGTAGTTCGGATATTACAAAAAGAACATTGGCAGCACTTTGGAAAGCGGAATAAAATTAGGTCAAAGTGCTGCTTAAACCACTGGGCCACCCATCCACCCCAATCTGAGGATTAATAAGCTGTGTTTATTAAAAAGAAACTTTAATGTACCCTTTAATTTCAATATGGTAGCTAGAAGCTTTGAAAATAACGATTAAAATTTTGTTTTTAAGTCTCTACTACTACTAACCTTCCATAAGACAAGCTTCAATAGAGCATTTATTTCTGGATTATATCTGGCAAAAACTCCTGTCTATTAAATAAAATAAAACAAATACTTTTATAGAAACATATTACATCACAGTACACTGATATTTTTTCAAAATGAGTAAATACCGGTAATTCTTGTTATCAGTGACAGATTTGAACTGTAAAAGTCAGTCACTGCCTAGATCTTTAGGAATTGCTTTTAATTATAACTATTTACACTTCAATGTTTGGCTAATGCCAATCTTCCATTTACTTTAGTTCAATAAGAGCTTAGGTACCTGAAGATATTTAAAAACGTGGTTTAACTGTGATTTTGTTAAATTTAAAACTTCATTATCCAGCTCGTCAGCGTCTAACTGAAATTAAAATGGCAGCTAGGGTTATATTTATGACACATTAGATAGAAGAGAGAGAGGAGAGGGGGGGGGAGAATGGGGTTTAATGTCCACTCAACAAATACTAGGTCATTTTGAGACTAACAAATGGTAGTACAATTTTAAGTTCAATAATTTGCTTGCACGTTGGGGTTGGAACTTTAGAGACCCTGAAAACCAATGAGGTTAAGCAGACCACTTGACTCAATGTCAGACTTTATCATCTAACGCACAAAGGGGCAAGAAGGATTGTCAAACCCTTTGATGTGGATAGAGGACGTCTGAATGCTAGACATTAAAATCTTTTAATCAAATTTCTCAAGGCCTAATATGTACCGAGATTATTACCAGTATTTAACATTTAATTATGAAAACTAAATCAAGATACGAATGCTATTAGTTATTTCAGTAGATTTGACTGCATATATGTCTTTCTTATAAGTTCTAATTAGTATAAAATTAACTTATTTTTAATATGTTACATGCATTAATAAAGAAATTAAGTTTGCCAGGTGAAACTAAAGGCACCCAATCATAGCTAAAAAAAAAACAAGCACATCAGATCAGTATATCTCAGTTTTTAGTTACGGTAGCTAGAAATAGAGTAGAAACGCATTACAAAACAGTATACTAATTTTTGGATATGGCGGCCATTTAGAAAAGAAGTCTATTCCCGAAGTAGAGTAGATAGTTCTCTGCGTGCAGAATGATATTTGTCCTCGGAAGACTCTGTTATAGTCTATATCTTTATGTAATGTTTGCTTATCATTATCAGTGAATGAGTGATCGAAATAGTCACAGTGCACCATTTGGTCGACCACATTATAATCCAAATAGGTAAACAAACGCAATCTTTGAGGTGAAAAGTTGTAACGAATACATTACTATAACTTATTATCACTTTCTGTTAGTAAATACAGAAACTGGCATGATAATTTACCTGTCCAACTCGCAGTGCCTTCACAGGCTCCGAATTGTCCACCATGTTTTGTCTACTTTTACTTTAATTTCCTTTGTAAGATGTTATAAGGGGTGTGATTGGTTGAAATGTTTTGAGATAAACAGAGTTTGTCGCAAGACCGCAAATCACCAATTTATTTCTAATTAAATCATTACATGCATAACAGACATATTATCGATCAATTGTGATAATCTGTTTAAAGCATTAATGATATGTCTGATTCTTTATTATGCCACTGTGATCAACTAGTACGCATCGTACATTGCATTACGTAATAGATTTATCGTCAAGGGCTCTTACACTCGGTTAACAAGACCGTTTGAGCTTCATAGTTTTCGACCTAAAAACTGTAAGCCCTGCAAACCGAAAAAATTAGGAAGCTTCCCTATCAACCAATAAAACTGGAATAATCGAACATGTTGTGTCTAGCGGGGTTTTGGAACAAACTACCGGTAATCTCTACTGAGTAAATAAAAGCGTGACGATCGCGAGTATAATTAAATACGATTTAGTTCAGTCGAAGTCAGTTGGAGGAAAAGAGCTTATTAAAATTTCTGACTCTGTATGGTTATGCAAAGGTGAGGTATTTAAATTATTTACAATGACAATGACAATTTATTGGATAAATAATACGTTATGGAGAAATTAACGGTAGATGTTTAAAATATTGCTAAATTATTGAAAATATTATTTTCTGTTTTTAATTAATTGTTTTGAATGAAATAACCCAATAATACTGTTTATTTAAATCTACATTGATATTCTAAACGAGAATATTGAAGCAAATGCGAGCATGTGAAATAAAAGACTTGTTGTTTTTTTAAAAAAAGAAAAAGAAAATTGTGATGAAATTAACAGGCAATGGAAAATATATAAACAAGTATCTTTAAATGCGATAAACAAAATTGTATCTATGCGACACTCTTGCTTTTGAATCATGTACATTTGACACAACTTATACATGCATCTTTTTTTCAAAATTGGATATCTATACTGATTTTTTTCCATTTCAAATAACCCTGTTGAGGGGGCTTAAGATTACGTAGTCCAATAGACCAACCCGAGACAGAGAGCTTATTCATTGCCTTATATCGTAATTGATCTATCTTGATCTACATAGATAAAGATATAGAAAAACTTAAAAAGATTGTCATATATATATTTGTTTTGTTATTGCGTCTGTCTTCTTACTAAGATTAACAACTCGCTCTCATTGAACACGTTTGCGAATAAATGGTACATATACAAATTAATATAGAGACGGTCATGTATTGAACCCGTTTGCGAATAAATGGCACGTACAAAATAATATTGAGACTGATATGTAACAGTGTGTCATCGGCGGGAGCCGCGGTGTATTGCGCTCATTCCTCACTCACTAAGCTGCAACTCCGGTGGTGGCAGAGAAAGCTACTCGGGATTTGACAGTTTCGAGCGTGATGCACGGCGGAGGGTCTGTAAGGAAATACGGGCATACGTCATACAGTGTGCTATGAGGAAAATTTTGCCCGGGCAGCGGCACTATAGCCTACTATTATATCGAATTCCAACTGCAAGGGATCTTTTACGTGCACACCAATGTATACACGGGGTCGCAGTTTTTCATCCCATCCGAAAGATTAGACAGCTGTCCTTGTCAGGCTCTCCGTCTACTGACAGTGGAAACCACGTCGGAAAAACATTATGGATAGAGACGCGAATCGTGTCAACAACCCTTATCTGGAGTTGCTCCCCTTTAAACTTGCATACCTTATTTTCGTGGGTCAAGATAATAATATTATGTAACTCGATGTCTTCGATCCCAAAACATATATTTATGGCTGTCATTAAAGATAGATATAGATATACCATAAAAATATAATATATACGACTATGTTATTTAAAAATACATATGGCTATAACATTTAAAAAAAAGATTTTATCGGTGCAAGTAGCCGAATATTTAACACAATGAATTCATATATATATATATATATATAATATATATATATTTAAAACACGGAAAGGGTCAGATCGGACATAATACTTCGGCCATTTTGAGACTAGCATGATAATTCGTATTTCTGTGGTTACGCCGTCTTCATTATCCCAGTCGGTGCCGAAAAGTAGGACGTTATAAAGACCATTTGATTTCTGTGGTTTCGGGTGGTGAAGAAAATTGTACCGGGGCAGTGGCGTTTCCACCTTGTCTTCGAACTATAAAATACGATGTTTAATACCCATGACGTATAACAGAGATATAAGGGTATTATTATGTGTGAAATAGTTGTATTTAACGAGTATCGCCGATACGGGGGATCAATATATCATTACACACCAGAAGCGATATATTTTTATATGTTATAAGGTTAATCAAGTTGTTTGTGTTAATGTAGGTAATTAAATCTCGGGGACTATTAGGTACTATCTGATAATCTGATATTGACAACAGACACGTCTAATTAGAGAAAACGTGGTATACATTGGTTAAGGCCCTGAGCGCTCGACTTCATCAAAATTATATATTAAATGTTCGAATATAATATAGGAGCAATTGAAGTAAATTAAAAAAGAAAAATGGTTAGTCCAAAAGACACGGGTAAATACGGTTGCTATAGATGCAGTAGAGTAATATATATTTCAATCGGGAACTGAGATGGGGTTTAAAGTCCTAATAATGTGCCCAGCTAATAAAGACGGGCAGTAATCTTGCCCCGATTGTGGGAAATTAAATAAAATGAAATGGGGGTTTAACGTTCTACTGTTCTGCTCCGACTCGGCTAAAGAAGATCGGTATACGCCATACAGGGTGCTATGAGGAAAATTTTTGCCCGGACAGCTGGACTACTACAGCCTACTCATATCGAATTCAGACTGCCAAGAGATCTTTTTATGTGCACGTCAATGTGTACATGGGACCTCGGGTTTTCGTCCCATCCAAACGACTAGACAGCTGTCCTTGTCAAGCCCTCCGTCCTGCATCACTGTCAATGGGAACCACGCCGGAAATTCCCGGGGAACTTTCTCCGCCAACACTCCTGAGTGACGAAAACAAGGAGAAATTTAAAAAACAGAGTAAACGACGTAAATTTGTGAAAACGGAATGGCATATCGGTTCCCTGGCAGCCGGGCAAATTAGTTCCGGCTATAATAGAGGCTATTTCAGTGTCCGGTAAGACGTACAAACTTCCTCCATTGACTTCAAAGATTTTTTTTTTATAATTAAAAAGTAAATTTGTTGTGTGTATAAAATCCCAATCGAAATATTGTAAATTAAAATAAGCATTTTTACCCTGTGGTATTAACACCATGTCCATACGCGGGGTCTAGTCGCCACACCCGTCCTCTTCTGAATTGTGTTAATATGCGAGGTTTTTATTTATTTTTGTTTTCGAAAAATCGGTGGTCGAGTTCGGTAAATTAACAGGAATCGGCGGTCGCGGGCTGTCTTATATTATATAGAAAATATAATCATCAAAGTTGAAGATTTTATGTTTGTGCAAATGTAATAGTCCCTCTGAATTGTGTTAATATTTTGTATTAGGAGAACAACCGGCGGTCGTCGGAGGTCAAATGAAAGGAATCGGCGGTCTTATATTTTATGTGGAAATCATAAAGGTTGAAGATTTTATGGTCGTGAAAAGCCACACCCGCAATCAATCGTTCATGACCGCGACCTGGCGAAACTCGCTGGAAACCACGGGGTTGTTCTAGACGGAGTCGAACTTGGTCTATCAAATATGAGATTTTCTTCAAAGCTGAAAAGCTAGAAGCCGGCTGAGAGTATAGTCGTGCGCTAAGCGCCACTGCCCGGTCCGATACAAAAATACCCATGCATAAGATCGAAATAACGGAAAGAATAACCAGGTTACGCTAATATAAACAACCCAGTAGTTTTACCATCGCTGCCATGCCTTTACAGTAATAATTATCGTCCGAATCAAAAATTACACGTCAGTTGATATTCCAAGTAGGAATCAAGTTTTCTGCGTTGTAATGACTTGATTGGATGTTGCTATTCTGTGGGCGTTTATATAGAATGATTTTGTTGGGGTTTTTTTGGTGTTTTTTTTTTAATTTTTATCTCATCTGAAAATATTATCCGTACGTTTTAACAAACCAATCCGTTAGCCTCAGATAACTCCGACGACATATTATAATTTACTTACGAAAGAAGGTGTATTTATCGCAGAGCGACATATAATTTAATCTTCATTTATAAAATAAGTCTAATTTTTGTAACAAAACAATTTATCATGTTTTAAAAGTGACCTATGACATCATATATAAAAAAAATTCGAGCTGTTTGTACCGAGGATAATATCGATTGCCTTTGAATTGCTTGTAGTTGAAAGTATTGTCATCCACTATATAGACTCTAATAAACTTGAATAATATACTCCCGGCCGCATGTCGCGCTCTGACTGACATCATGTTATGACATGTCTGTCCTATTATATGTCGTTTAATAATATTTGCGCCCTCTGGTTAAAAGGACCGATCACTGTGGACACAATATACTACGTATTGATTTGTTCTTCGGTATATCAATTTGCTTGCTAGAACAGAAAATAACCATTTAGTAGTGTAGGTACATGGCCATCGGAGAACATCTAAGGAACCTGATACGTGAAGGGGAGTACGGGTACAGAACTGGCGGGGTGTACAGTCTACCAAATGACATCCCAGGGGTATAGAGATCAAAGACTTGAACGTGTAATACAGGTTAGGATAACTTCTAAGAAATTATTTTCTCGTGCTAATTTGGTCGAGACAATTTGTTTACTTTTACTTTTATATAAGCTTAACGAAGTCATATCATGGACCGGTGGGGCGGATGGCCGAGAGCAATGTCATTGACTCAAACGTCGTGGATTCGATCCCCGGCTTGAGCGTACTCGTTAATTTACCTGGGTTCTCCATTTTCCAGTCAATGTTATAGACCCATGCACTCTGAATTATTGAAATAAAGATAATACTATACAATATAGGTCTGATGTTTATCCCAAAATAAGCTAACCTAGTTAGTGTTAAATGGATGTTAATCCACTCTCTGGTCTCTATTTTAATCAGTTTGTGAATAGGCTAAATAGAAATGAAAATTTGAAAATATCATCACTCCCATTTTCTAAACTAAAAAAATAAATAAATAACTTGGTTTATACTCCTATAAATAATTCTGCCCCAAATTTTGAGATCTTTATTTTGTTTATAAATTTAATTTACTCGGGAATAAATGAACAAATCTTCTAGGGTGGGTTTGGGTTTTTTTTCGTCACTTTTCTTATTCCCTTTTTAATTAAAGCAGCGAATTTAACAGAATCGGCAGTCTGATGCGGGTTTTCCCCTATTCGGTTGCCATAGTAACGACGCGGATGCGATGATAAAACTTTAGAGGCTGGATATACGAGTGTATCTCGAAAGTAGGTCAAAAAGTTTAGAAATTTGATGCTCCATGCGATGCAAGTTATATGACTCTTTGATATACTCCTGACATGAGCTTAGGCAGGAGGTATTCTCCCCCTGTAAGAGAGAACCCAGATTTCCACGATAGTGTTCGTAGAAGTTTAGGAATTCTCTTTGATAATGACGAAATGGTAAGTTATGGATGGAGTTCATGAGAAATGAATAACTTCCTGTATTTTGATACGACAGCCCTGCCTCGCGACCGTACGGCCGAAATCGATTCCACTGCATTTTTGAGAACGAAAGATGGCATCAGCGACCACCTCTGAGGGCCAGGTCATATATAGTTCAGGTCATATAATGGCGTGGGGATTCGTGAAATCAGGTACCAGTCTGAAATGTAAATTCTCAGTTTGTTTATAGCAGAGACATAATGATAAGCAAAATCCAAATATAATTTTTTGATAGATCATTAGGCGATAGGAAACCAAATTGTACAAATGTGTGTAGGCATTTAACATGGGGTCGGGAAAGAGTCGGACATAGCATTTAAATAGTTACGTACAGTACGTACCAAACATCTCTTTCTTATTTTGAAATGAAGTAGGACGTTAATAAACCCTATTTCATTTCATTTCATTTCAAAATAAGAAAGAGATGTTTGGTATACGATACTGTAACTATTTAAATGCTATGTCCGACTCTTTCCCGACACCAAGACTTTTTGATGGCTATTATTATGATGATCACTATTCACCACATATCCAGCCAGGGGAGAATCCACAATCTCAGGTTCAAATCTTTGGGGGTCAATTTTACACTGATTCCATTAATCAAGCCCAATCGGATATTATTCTTTTGGTCAACAGCTTAATTAATTAGGCCTTACATGTGTTTACCACAAGTTCCATGACCTCTTACTACTTGTAGGCCTAGATGTTGGAAACTGTGTCCTAATCACTTTTGTCAGCACCACAACATTCTGTGTATCAACCCAAGTTTAATTTTTACAATTAAGACTTAAAAGTTTTGTACAGTTCCAGTCGTTGTTGTTTTTATTTTAGAGGAGAGCCGAAAAAAGCTCCCCATAATCAACAAATTGAAAAAAATCGCTCCCCTAAAAAAGCTCTCCCAGTTTCAATAAGAAGAATGATTTAGAAATTAAGGAAAGTGATCTGATATTAAGGAGAGTGATTAGTTATGTGTATGGGAAATGGTTCTGAAGATCAATAACTGCATGTTAGGGGTCATTCCAGGATTCATAAATGATTCATAAAGGAAAGCGATTTTCAGTTTTAAGGAGAGGGAAAAAAAACTCCCCTCGTTCGACATTCAGGTGAGCAGCAGGTGCTCAGGAGCGATCGCTCACCTTAAAAAAACAATGACTGCAGTCCACATATGATAGATAAGCAGTTTTTGGGAAGAAATAATTACCGTAATTGCAATTATTTCCCATACTAAATACCAGGAACAGTAGGCCTTCATTACATTAGTTGAATAAGTTAAATTCAAATAGGTATATATTAGGGACAGTAGGCCTGTATTATTTAGAAAGTTATAGGCCTACAAGTACGGTAGTTGAAAATTCAAAAATCAATAGTGAATTATTTTTACCATTCTACTGCAGTACTAGGAAGAGTAGCACATAAATGCAATTATGGAATACAAATTATGACACAGGTTCTCTCATCTTAAGTTTATCAAACATAGACGCCACATCTCCATATTGATGATATAAATTGTTTAAGCAGCTTACATGAAACCAGCAGCATACATGAAACAATTATATGGAATAAAAGTTACTTAGAAGTTTATTTCTGGTGACATTTCAACAAGGGTTATCTTGTCTTTTATCGATCAAAAGGCTTTATAAGGCCTACATAATGTACAGGAGTTGAAAAGTCAAATAGGTATGAAATTATTGCTACATGTACATTTCTATGGTATATTTGTCAATCACGTTTTATAACTTCCTCATCCTGATGCAATTCTACGTATACATGTACATGTGTATTCTGAGTATTCTCATTGATACAACATAGATATTTGGACTTCTTGTCTTTCATGATTAGTTGACCATGACTGCTACAATTAACAGTGGTATTGATGAACAGTTTTTATATTGTTGTAGAGTTCATGTTTTGTTTAAATAGAATGTCAATACCCTATGTATAATTAACTACCTGAAGTTTATACAGGGTATACCTGTTGTTTAACCTAGTTGGCCAAGGATAATACAAATTCTAATTACTTTTCTTGTAATATTAATGAAGCGTCACTGATAAGTCTTGTAACAAAATACAATTTATTGATGGTCTCACCTATACATTTGATCTATGCTCTTTGTTCATTTTGAATATACATGTATTGGAAATTGCTAGCTCAGCACTTCTTCAATAGGTTGGTGTCAAAGATTTTCATCAGAAGAGTTTCAATGATAACTGATTACATTTAGAATAAAGGCCCAACATGAGTTTTAGTTTGTAAAAAAAAGAAAAGAATTCAAAACTGTCCTGAAATGACCATGTACCGGTATACACATGTATTCATTTTATTTTGAATATATGGGGAAGGGGGGTGGGGCATAGAATCGGGCCTTCACCTTTAATGAATGTGACAGGTTACGCTCATGGCACAAAAACTCATGTATAGGATGTTGGGTATTTTTTTGTAGTGGGTCTTTAAATCATAAAATGTTACTTATATAAAAAAGATTTAACATTTTCCTACTGAGACATAAAAGTAAAGAAATGTTTTTGGTTTTTTTCATACAATTTTTATGAACAATATCTTGATTCAGTAAATATCTGAATTATGATTGGGGAATAGGCTAAGCTTATATGTAACTCTTCTGTCTAATGAGGTATGTTCGTTTTGTAAACATATTTAGCTAATTTCCATTTAAAGCAGTGTGAACCAATTTTTACCTAACAGACTTATAGATCTGGGCGAACGAAGAAAGAGGGGTTGGGTGGCCGAATGGTTAATGCATAAGGTCTGTCATTGAGTCAAGCGGTGTGGTTTCGATTACCAGACAGTACGTGACAAGGAGTAGGGTCTTCTGTCTAACCTCGTGGGTTTTCTCTGGGTTCTCCAGTTTTCTCCTACTGCTATAGACCCCAACGCGCAAGTAAATTTTTGAAATAAAATTAACTCATATGTTAGTCCAGAAATGACCTAGTTTGTTTCGAGTGGACGTTAAACCCCATTTCTCTCCCTCTCTCTAAAGAAGAAAGGCATGCACCATACAGTCTGCTGAAAGGAAAATATTGCCCCGACAGTAGTACTAGGACCTACTTTATTTCGATTTGCAACTGTTGTTTACATCGGACCATGTTTTTTCATCTTATCTGAACAACTAGTTGCTTTTTCATGCCGGGCCCTCCCAGGTTTTTGACCCTACATGTATGTCGTCAGACATTGATTAATCAATCAGGGTTGACGTTTGTAGTGGTTTACCCACAGATCCGTGCATGGCACGCCAAGAAGTCACCGTAACAGACCGTTTCATTGGCTAATCAACCAAAACGCTGGTAATACATTTATAACAACTCTTCCAGATCCTAGTGTAGTAAAGACAAATAAAACGAAATTTTGAACTATAAAAAATGAAACGAAATAGGATCTGTGTGAATGGGGTTATATGCATGTAACAACTCTTCCAGATCCTAGTGTAGTAAAGACAAGTAAAACAAAATTTTGAACTATAAAAAATGAAACGAAATAGGATCTGTGTTTTAATCAGATTATCCAAGGGTTAAACAGACTTTGATGTACCTGTGCCTTATGTTTTATTTTGTTATTTTTATTTTCAGAGATTAGAAGATTCTGTATTGAGAGAAAGCCAGGAATATACGGTCCGTGGAGAGGACGGTACATCATCTGCTAAAATCCCAGCACGCATTCGAGAAATAATCACCAAGAACCTCTCTTATCGCACAACTTCGACACCAATGATGGCGTCGACACCAAATGTTGGTCAGCTTACTGAAGAGAATCGACTTCTAGCACAGGAATTAAACAGGGTTGAAAATTTGTTGTCTGAGAGTGCTGCTGAACGGGATGAACTTGGTATTAAATACAACGCTTTGAGTGACAGAGTAAGTATTTCATCGTGTAATGTCGCTAAAACAAGGGGGTGGTAGACGCATCTAACACTACTCTACTTGCTAAATGTTTTAGTCATAAGTAACAAAACAGAAAGACCTAGGGTTTAACAACCCTCAACAAAAACTAGGTCATTTCGGGACTAAGATATGGTTCAATTTTATTTCAATAATTCAAGTGCGCATAGGGGTCTTCTCTAGCTGTGGGAGGAAACTGGAGAAAACAGTTGAGGTTGGACAGGCGATCCTCATACTCTTTGTCATGTACAAGCGGGGATTCGTAACCACGCCACTTGACTCAATAAAAGACCTGCTGATCCAAGACCCACGCATTAAACCATTCAACCACCCAACAAACAATGAAGAAAATTTAATTTGTTGATCGAGGCAATTTCACTAGAGAAACATAATTGACTGAAAGTAGTGAAAGCTTGTTTTTACGGTAAAAGTAGCTACCCCCCGTGCCCAATCAGGTGCCCATATGAAAACACACTGAAGTAGATCTTAACATGCAGATGGTTGTGATAGATATTTATCTGTTGATTTTGTGCATGTCATAGAAAATAATATTTGTATGTATTATTTTTACGAGCAACAAAATGTGTTAAGTGTTGCTGAAGTATATAAAACAGGTTTTAGAAAGGCAATATACACGTATATAAGCAGCAATAAAGATTCACAGAGGTCCAATTGACTTCATATACACTGTTGAAGGTGACCTGAAGTCGGTTATACATAACATGTTAGACAATGTACATAGGTCTAAATGTACATGGGGGATTGGATGGCTGAATGGTTAGCACGTAGGCGCTGTATCATAAAGTCTGTCATTGAGTCAACTGGTGGGGTTTCGATTCCCTGGTTGTACGTGACAAGGAGTAGGGTCACCTGTCCAACCTCGTGGGTTTTTTCAGAGTCCTCCACTTTCCTCCCACTGCTAAAGACCCCTACGCGCAAGCGAATTATGGAAATAAAATTTAACCATATGTTAGTCTCGAAATGACCGAGTTGGTGTCGAGTGGACGTTAAACCCTATTTCTCTCTCTCTCTCTAAATGTACATACTGAAGTCTTGTAAATACGTGTGAGACGTGTAGGTCTACAAAATTAAATATTTTTATCTTGGTTATTATTAATGTAGAACTTTAAAAGATAGTCAATATAGTGTGACAGTTTCCTATCAACACATAATCTTAAAATTACACTGTTATGATAGTGTTACACTATACCTCCCAGCAATGAATACCTTTTAGAGGGGGCTCAGAAACTACAGAGTATGGGTATTGTTGTATATTAGTTTATAAACACTCGCATCCTAATTCCTATAGACAATATGAAAACGTCTTACTGTACATTTGACACAAAAGATATGATACCAATTTTAGCCAGTTGTAGGTGATATGGATGAGACAGGGTATGCTTACTCTTTCAAGAACATCTGATAGCACTTCTCGTTTGAGGAGTTCACATAGATAACGAGAATTTATATTAGTTCTCTATATGAGCAATCAAGCCCAGTTCCCACTTGTCAAGTGTGGTGCCTGCTGGGCTGAGAAGTACAGGGCTTACTGTATACAGTAGCGTGCATGTAAGATATCCCTTGACAGTTAAAATTTGATGAAGAGTACATGTAGAAACACTGCCGTTCATCCCTATCCGTTGGCGGAGAAAGTTTTTTAGGATTTTCCGACGTTGTCCTTCATTGTCAGTGGTGCATGACTGAGGGCCTGGCATGGGACAATGTATAATTGTTTGGATGGGACGAAAAACCTAGGTCTCGTGTATACATTGGCGTGCACGTAAAGATCCCTTGGTAGTTAGAATTCGATATAAGAGTAGGCTGTATCGCTGCTACATGTATCTGGGCAAAATTTCCCTCATAGCACACTGTAGGTCTAATGCCCGTCTTCATTAGCCCAGTTCGTAGTAGGATTTTAAACCCTATTTTATTTCATTTCTCATCCCTATCATTGCACAATAGAAATAAAAAACAACAGTACAGTATGTTAGTTTTAAAATGACCATAGTATTGTGTTTCTAAGAAGCCAAAGTACATTTGTTTTTAGACTTTTCGTATGTTATCAAAATAGATATCGGATTTTAAATATTCCATTTTGACAAAACTTCACATTGTAGTAGGTGCGATCTTTTAAATACTTATAAACACAGTACAAATGTAACGACAACCATAATATATAGGAACAACAATACCTATATATGATAAACACACCATGTCATTCATTATCATATTGTAGAGTTCTAGTTCATTGGTTCGACTATATTTCTGTACATTACTTTAATGTACCAATTGTTTGTGATATAAGGGGGGGAGAGAGGACGTTATTTAAACAAGTCAATGAGTCGTAACATTGTGTGTAGGATTAAAGCTATTCAGTTAGGATTGTGAATTAAATTGTTAGAAGTTTAACATGGTTGTATCATACTAATCTTGTGGACTCTCGACATGTCATTAATTTTTGTTAACTTGGTTCTTTCACTATATCAAAAATACTAAATGTTAATAAAAAAACATTTTGTTAATTTAGTTCTTTCACTTTGCTGCATATCAAATATACTAAAAATGGCCCCATGCTTTAATAAGTAATAGATCTACATAAAGTTAAATCATTTCAATTTTGAGAATTATTCTTATTAATAAAGTTGATAACCGTACTTAACATCATTTCATTTCCTTGCAAACTACAATATTGTAAAAGGAATCAGTCTCAAAAATGTTCACTTCCATTCAGCATTTACTAAGATATGGGTTAACATGGATTAATCCAGGAATAATTAGATTTAGATGTTTGTCAGAAAATGCAAAAAAATGTTAAAGAAACAGACAGAGAAATGGGGTTTAACATCCATTCGACACAAACTAGGTCATTTTGGGACTAACACATGGTTCAATTTTATTTCAGTAATTTGCTTGCACGTATTGGTCTTTATCTGTGGGGGGACCGGAGTACCCGGAGAAAATCGCGAGGTTGGACAAACAACCCTACTCCTTGTCACGTACAACCGGGGAATCGAAACCATGACATACACACATGCTAACCATTCGACCATCCACCCCCACCCCCACCACATTAAAGAAAGAGATAAACTATTCTTTAAAAAGACTGATTTAAAATAATATTGTACAAACATTTCAAAACTTCATTGTTTATGTTTGTTTTTATTTTGTTATAAATTATTGATTCATTGAAATATTTGAAGCATAACTCCTGTGAATGAATGGAATACAATCGACTATCATTGAATGAATTGTGTACTCGCGGTAAAACAATCAATCAGGTTTCAACAGGTAAACTGGTTAAAGTTTGTCAGCATGGTCATATGGTCATATCTATCTACTACGATTTTTACCTGTGCAGTACCATCAAGCTATTTAGATCCACTAAAGCCTTCTCAAATCTCTTTATATATATTTATCATAGTGATATTAATCTGTCAACACAAGTGGTATTAGACCTGTCATTTTGTAAGTCTGTAACCTAGGCTTATTTTCTCTGCTAGTTTGTTATTTGGTACAGGTAATAGTCATTTTATACTAGCAAATATCAGAAGCAAAATAAGAAGACTTTATAGTCATCATTCAATATTGCATGCACTAATATACCAATAACTAATTCCAATTTATTTCCATGGAAACACAAAAATTAATAAATGCCCAAAATTTTTAATTAGCAACAGGCATAACAGCTATACCAAAATAGGTTGATATCTTGAACTGTTGATGAGATATGCTCTGTAATGAAAAATTGTACACCCAAAATGAAGTCAATTTTCTTTCCATAGACATACTAAATCCAATAAAAATCTAATTAGCAAAAAGTACAAATTATGTGATAAATTGATAGGTGTACAAAATATCATTAATCTTTTATGAAACAAAACTGGGTTTGAAGGACAGACAAAACCCATCTCAATATCCCAGTCTTCTTTTGGCACTGGAAAATTAAAGGTAAAATTAATTCATATGTTGAAATAAAAAGATTAAACAATATTAATCAGTACATAGAGGATATTTGTCGTTTTAGAGTGAAAATATAAATGTTTTCTTGTTTAGAGATGAAATAAAATATGTTATTCACGACAAAACGACAAATGTTCTATTTATTTTATGATTTTACAATCATTTTAGGTAAAAACAACATGGACTACTGCTAGCCAGTGGAATAACACTTTTATTTCACTGATAAAACGCGGGATCATAAAATAAAAATTAATATGTTTTAAATGAAATGATAGGTCTGTGTTTAAGAATTTCATAGCTAAAATTCAAAGCAAAACATTCATCTTTTTAAAGCAAAATACATGGTGAAATTGCATATTGAGAAAAAGAGAAATAACAATGATGCATTGAAACAAAAATGATACGTGTATTAATCCATTTAAAAATATAATGTAAGTCTATGGATAAAGAAATAAGAATAATGCTATAAAAAAAATTACTGGACGTTAAAAAGCATGATATTGAATGAAATAAAATTTTACAGATATTGAAAGATGTAAAATAATACAGATATTGAATGGTGTGAAATATTTTAGATATTGAATGATTAAAAAAATAATACAGCTACAGAACAATTAAAAAAATAATACAGCTACAGAACGAAAAATAATATTACAGATAATGAATTAAAAAAAAATATTACAGATATTGAATGAAAAAAAAATATTATAGATATTGAATGAAATTAAATATTATAGATATTGAATGAAGTATTGTATATATTTAATTTATTCAGTCCAGGGTAGTCATTGTATACAAAACCCATAGATCTACTTGAAGATGTCAGAAATAAAACCTGATTTATTTAAATAGAGAATAAGGAAGCTATACTGTATTTACTTAGTAATTAAAGGTTATTGTATTTTATAAAAAATGGTTTTATTCTTTACATTTAAAAGGTTATCTTATCCTTCTTATATCTTGATTTCTAGGGAACAGTTTTCTATTTAGATTGGCAAATTGATCTGATAAATAAA